GAAGTAGAGGGGGAGGGAAGAGGAAAGGGATAGCTAGTCCTGATTTTGTGCAACCTACACGATTTGCCCATTTGAGTGAAGATGTTGGGAGCATCAGCTCAGGATTAGCTGTATTAGAGGAAGCTGTTCCTTCTAACAGCCGAGGGAACAGCCCCTCTAGTACGGGTAGGGATGAGAGTGTAAGGAAGGCTAGACAGGTTGTGGTGGTAGGGGACCCTATCATTAGGAAGGTAGATGGGGCAACCTGCCACTCTGATCGACTCAACTGGGTGCCTCCGCCAATCGCTGCTTCCTAGTGCTCACCGAGTACTCCAAGCACTCCACCAGATACCATCAGCACTGTAGTCCGTACTTCCAGCGTTACAAGTTGGTTGGGGTCTCGCCATCCTCCACCCACCCTGGACCCACGACCCAGCTTACAGTGGGTAGATCTCTCCCAATCCAGAGAGTAGAGCAGGTATAGCAGAGCTACTGATTATAGCAATCCAAAGAGCAATCCCAATAGCAGGGATTATAGCTGACATAGCTGTTCCCTACAATCACGAGACAAGGCTCTGTGTTGAGGATAAGCAGGAACTCATTTAATGGTAGCCACAATTGGCCTTATATGCACGTCCCCATGCAAGGGGCACTCCACCCTAGACCTGAGAGTAGACTACAGTAAAAACATACACACAATTACATTGGCTCTCAGGTCCAGGACACTCCCACATAAAACAAGATAATCTCTCCTCTGTGCCTGGGAGATAACTGAGTCAAGGACTGTACAAAACTCAATTATCTCCAGGCACAAAAACACACATTTCCCAAACACCCCAAAAGTACCCCTAAAACACATGGAAACTCCACAAAAGTCATATCCCCTGATAGCCCTGATCTGGGGGACAAGCTGTGACAGATAGCCCTGACTGGGCACCCCCGCAAACCAAAGCTTCCTAGCTGACGCTGAGGACCGTAAGCACCGGACACCACAATCACCGCAGACTCCACAACCGCTGTAGCTTAGCTGGGATCTCGCCGTCCTCCTCCCACCCTGGACCAATCTCTGATATCCAGGACCGTGTGGAAAAGTGTGGAGAGCGTAGCAGGAACAACTCTTAGAAGAGCTAGTGATGAGAACCCAGTGGAGTATAAGGAGTATAGAAGTGTGAATGTAGCAGTATAGCAGTTCCTCTCCAATCACAAGACGAGGCTACGTGTTGAGGGTTAAGCAGGAACTCAATTTTTTTTTTAAATATTATTTATTAGAAAAGATTTTTACATTCTCTTATTTTACACAATGTATACAGCGTATAGACAAAAAGAAAAACGAAAAACAATAAGCAAAAAAATACATTAACAACAGTTACCCAGTGAATTGGGAAAGGATCATCAACTCAGAAATATCCCTAAACACGTTAAAGGAACACTATAGTCACCTAAATGACTTTAGCTAAATAAAGCAGTTTTAGTGTATAGATCATTCCCCTGCATTTTCACTGCTCAATTCACTGTCATTTAGGAGTTAAATCACTTTGTTTCTGTTTATGCAGCCCTAGCCACACCTCCCCTGGCTATGATTGACATGAAAAAAAAACTGGTTTCACTTTCAAACAGATGTAATTTACCTTAAATAATTGTATCTCAATCTCTAAATTGAACTTTAATCACATACAGGAGGCTCTTGCAGGGTCTAGCAAGCTATTAACATAGCAGGGGATAAGAAAATCTTAATTAAACAGAACTTGCAATAAAGAAAGCCTAAATAGGGCTCTCTTTACAGGAAGTGTTTATGGAAGGCTGTGCAAGTCACATGCAGGGAGGTGTGGCTAGGGTTCATAAACAAAGGGATTTAACTCCTAAATGGCAGAGGATTGAGCAGTGAGGCTGCATGGGCATGTTATATACACCAAAACTGCTTCATTAAGCTAAAGCTGTTCAGGTGATTATAGTGTCCCTTTAATGGTATTTCCCAATAAAAAGTACCAATTTATATATCATCATAACAGTCAGTTATTACAAATCTAAACCATGGTCAGTTCAATAAAGGTCTATTTCATAGTTAGTCTAGTAGAAGAATTTATATCAATCTAAAAAACTATTTTCAATCAATCCTGCCATTCAGTTTGGTCACTTCCTAAAACTTTCAGCCATTTGTTATATTGATCTTGTTTATTTAGGGAGTACAGAGAAGAGCCATGCAGATCCTTTTCCTTACGGAGTTGAAATAAAAGTTGGTCAATTAAGTGCTTCCAGTGGAAAGAAAGATTTGATTTCCATAGTCTTGCTATTATAATCTTTTTTTTTTTCCTTTCCTTTTTTTATTATTAAATCATTTTATCATACATTGACAAGTAATAAAGTGCATACAAAACAAAGACAAATGTGGCAATAACAGGACAAAACATATAATTTACATTGTTACAACTGTTTTAGTCCTATATATTAGGTAAACCCCAAGCTGGACAGCTAAGGATCTCTCAGTACAAATATATTTTATATCTTATAGAATCATAATCTAGCTAAAAATAGATATAAATATGTAAATATAAATACAAATACAAATATGGGCTAGGGTCGGTCTGAACATCTAAAAAGAAATATCTCTATAATAAGGTTTCTATCAGAGTCTATCGAAATCCAAACAAGGAAAAAGTACAAAGGAATAATTCATTTATTTCCTAAAATTCGTATCCAATTGGTATATTGATCTTGTTTTTTTAAAGAAAGTATAGAGGAAACTGGTAAATCTTTTTCCATTTGGAATTGATATAAAATTTGATTAACAAGCTGACTCCTCAAAAAAGGGAGATGTGACTTCCATTGCCTTGCTATTATTATTTTTACTGCCAGGAAACAGTGATTTACAAGGCATTTGGATGGAGTGGAAGAGAGTTTCCAGTTTAAATGTAACAGTGCTGTATCTGGGCCTTTTTTTATTGTAATATTAAATAAACATTTAAGAATTTCAAAGGACCACTCCCAAAGATTTTTAACCAATTTACAATGCCACCATATATGGAAGAATGTTCCCTCTGTAAAACCACAACGCCAGCAGTGAGAAGTTTGACCTGGATACATCTTAGCTAATTTATATGGAGTCAGATACTATTTATACATAACCTTATATTGACATTCAAATAAATTCTGACAGTGAATATATTTACGGGTATCCCTAAGAGACATACACCATTCCTGCTCAGTTATGTCAATCTTTAAGATATTTTTCCATTTATCAAGTATCTTTAAAGGTTGTTGATCAAGGTTGGATAATAAGTTAATGGCTTTTGAAAGAATTTTATTAACCTTGGTATATCTAAAAATAGTTTGAAAAAGAATATCAATTTTTGGTGACGTATTTAGTAAAAACATATTCAAAATTTTTTTAATTCTTAAATAAGAAAAAAATTCTTTGTTAGGGAGAAGAAGTTTAGCTTGAATATCCACAAAAGGTAAAATTTGATCGTCACAGAGGATATCTCCAATCGTCCATTGAAATTTAGACCATTTATTTAAAGAAATATCCTCAATATTATCTTCTAAAATGATCAAATGGGATGACTTAATTATTTTATCGGAGATTTTTTTTTGTTTTTTTATCCTCTCCCAAGCACTAATAATTTGTGACAAAATTAATGATTTACTACATAAAAATTCTATCTTTTTTTGTTATTTTTAAGCCATAAATACATTTCCAATCTATCTTTTCCAACTGCTTCGGATTCAATTAGGTACCATGTGTCTGTTTTAAACGATTCAACCTGCAGTTTATATATGTGACCAATAATGTCAGCGTAATAACAGTTTCTAATATTTGGATAGTTTATACCTCCGTTTTGGGGTTTCCTAGAGAGAACTTTAGAACTTATTCTAGACCTCGTCGTTTTCCAGATACATTTTTGAAAACTAGATTGTATCATGGTTAACCAAATATCTGGAATTTGAAGAGGAATCATCCTAAATAAGTACGACCATTTGGGCATAATATAAGCATTAATTATGTTAATCCTGCCGATCCAAGAGGATTCGGTCAGGCGCCATTCTTTTAATTTTATATTTGTGTATTTTAGAAGATTCAATACATTTATTTCCATAATATTGTTAACTTGAGATGAAATTATCACGCCCAGATAATTGAAAAAACTATTAGTCCAAACAAAGTCATAATTCTCCCGGAGAACTTTTAAGCTGTAAATATCAACATTAATAGTTACAGCAATTGATTTAGATATATTGAGTTTATAATTAAATACCTTAGAATAGCTTTTTATAGCAGATAAAACTTGGGAAGAGAGGATTCTGGAGAAGTGAGTGTTAATAATATATCATCGGCATAAAGTGATATTTTTGCTTCTGAATTCTTCGTTGGAAAACCTGTGATATTCAAATTATTCCTAATGTTGATAGCTAAGGGTTCTAAAGTTAAAATATAAAGAAGGGGTGATAAGGGACAGCCTTGGCGTGTGCCATTATATAGACTAAACCAATTTGATTTAATATTTACACCTACAGTTCTAGCTGTTGGTTCAGAGTAACGTGCCAAAATGGCATCATGAATCCAACCTATGAATCCAAAAGAAGTCAGCACCTCGTCGAGGAAGCGCCAACTGACCCTGTCAAAGGCCTTCTCAGCATCCAATGACAGGGTCAGCAGCGGAATCTCCCGACGGAGTGCACCGTCCAAAATATTCACTATTCTTCTAGTACATGTATCAGAAGATCTACCTGGCAAAAAACCAACCTGATCAGAATGAACGACTCTCTCAACAAGTGATTTTAATCTAGTTGTTAAAATTGCTGCGTATATTTTCATATCTGTATTGATTAAAGAGATTGGTCTATAATTTTTAACATCAGTTGGATCTTTATTTGGTTTTAGTATTGGAAGAATATTGGCTTGTAGTAACTCCTTTGGTGTTTTAGCTGTTTTGGCCATTTCATTAAAAAGAGCCATTAAGGGAACAGTTATCTCTTTTTTCATTACTTTATAGAAAAGATTAGTAAATCCATCCGGTCCAGGAGTCTTATTTAATTGAAGTCTATCAATCACTCTTTCGACCTCATCTATCGTAAACTCATAATTAAGTTGGGCTAACTCTTGATTGTTAATTTTTGGAATATCAATATTATTCAAATATTGTTTAATATCTTGACTATCTGATGATGTATCCAGATCATATAGTTTGCTGTAAAATTCATTAAATAGTTGCCCAATTTTTTCTGGGGAGGAGTATGTAATTTGATCCGCGACGAGTTTATTGACCCTATTATTTGAATTTTGCTTTTTTAATCTTTTGGTTAAGTTTTTATTTGCTTTATTACTTTGATGGTAAGTATTTAATCTCAATTTATTGATTGTTTTTCTAATCTTTTCTTCTGTCTTAAAGTTAATTTGTTTTTGTAATTCTAGAAGTACTGATCTTAATTGAGTAGTTGGAAACTCTTTATTCATTTTAGACAGGTTAAAATATTGAATATTTAAATCTGTTAGATCTCTATTTATCATAGTTTTAGATTGTTTTTCAATTTTAATAAGATAGCCTCTAATAACCGCTTTATATGAAGACCATAAAGTAGAATTTAGAATATCAGGAGTGGAATTTTCAAGCCAAAAAAACCTTGAAAGTTTAATTATAGTGTCTTGATTTATCTTAACTTTAAAGAGAGAGTCGTCCATTCTCCAGGAGTCAGTAGATCTCTGTAAGACCCTACCTATTTCTAATATTAAAAAACTGTGGTCAGACCAAGTATTATCCTTAATTTGGATTGTATTAATTTCTTTCAAAGTATTAGCTTTTAGTAAGCATAGATCGATTCGTGAATACGAATTGTGTACTTTAGACAAATGCGTATAGTCTCGTAAATCTGGGTGTGTTACCCGCCAGACATCATACAAACCATGCATGGCACATAAATTAGAGAGAGTTTTAGATTGTTTATATAGGTGGCTTTCAGATTTTAATTGAATATGGGTTTTTTTTATCCATTATTGGATCAAAAACACAGTTAAAATCGCCTGCTATCAACAAAGTACCTATTGTTTTATTTTCTAATCTATTCATAATTTTTGAAAACAGGGCAGTTGGATTAATATTTGGTAAGTATATATTAACCAAAGTAAAAGTTATAGATTCTATTTTGCAGATAATTATAAGAAATCTGCCATTAGGATCACTATCTATTAATTTTACATCAAGTTTTAAATTAGAATCAAATATGATTGCCACCCCAGATTTTTTATTATTTAGGAGAGATGCATGATATATATATTTGTATTTATGCCCCATCCATTTTAGCGACTCAGATCGCAAACAGTGCGTTTCTTGAAGAAAGGCTATTTGTATTTGGTTAGAGACCAAGGAATCGTAAAGCATTTGCTTTTTCCACCGTGTATTTAGACCTTGTACATTTATAGACATAATTTTCAGCATTAACTTTCAGAAATTTTGTAAACACTAGCTCGATAGTACCAGGTAATTTGAGACACAAAAATGATATTATTCAGACTGACCATAGCCCAATTAGTACAACAATGCAAATAACAACACAAACCACAACATAAAAACCTCTGATGAAACATGAACGTTTCACCAACATTCAACAATATACATCCCAAGGCTAATAGCCATGGGTTCACTTGATCTTCCATCTTAGAAGATAAGAGATATCTGTGAAAAAATCTGTGTCTTGCTATTATAATCTTAGTTGCTAAGAAGCAATGGATAACAAGGCATTTAGATGAAGTGGAGGATAAATCCCAATTTAGATGTATCAGGTCCTTTTTTATAATTATTTTAAATAGTGAAGGCCCACGACCATAAACATTTTACCAATTTACAATGCCACCATATGTGTAAGAGGGATCCATCCAGGCAGCCACATCGCCAACAATGTTGCTACATCTTAGAGATCCGATATGGCGTCAGATACCATTTATACATAATCTTATATTGGCATTCTATTACGTTCAAGCAGTGGATATACAACACCATTCATTGTCACTTATATCAATTTCTAAGTCATTTTTCCATTTATCAATAATATTTTTGATCAGAGAGAAGTATTAAATTGGTAGCTTTGGAAATTATTTTGGACTTGTTTGAATAGGAGTATCGAAAAAGGGTGTGTTGGGTGCTCACTCCAAAACAAAAAGTAAGTGGGCAGCAGTAACCAATACAAGGATTCCCAACCTTGTAGAAAGACAATGTATACATTCCTCTCTTTTTTCTGTATACAATGAATATGAGTATCAACTATAGATGCATTACCTAATAAAGCTTTATTCAAAAAGTGTTTCATTCTCAGGTACGAGAAAAGTTCTTTATTTGGTAAGTGTTGGTGTAAATGTGAAATTTAGACCAATGGTGTAAAGAGATATCTTGCATGTTATCTTCCAAAGCAACCAAATGGCATGTATTAATTACTTTAAGATTTTCATCTTTATTAGGTTTTAATATTGGTAAGATGTTCGCTTGTAATAACTCTTTCGGAGTTTTGGCTTTTTTAGCCATTTCATTAAAAAGGGCCGTTAAAGGAGGAGCTATTTCTATATCCACCCGGACCAGGGGTCTTAAATAGTTCTAATCTATCAATCTCTCCTTCCACTTCATTAGGTGTAAACTCGAAGTTAAGCAGATTAAGATCGGGGTTAGAAATTTTTGGGATTTCTGTGTCAGCTAGATATTTCTTGATTTTCTAATTATCTGAAAATGCACCAAGATTATACAAATTACTATAAAATTCATTAAATATTTGGCCAATTTTTTCAGGGGAGGAGGACGTAATTTGATTATCCAACAACCTATTAACCCTATTTGATGTATTTTGTTTCTTTAATTTCTTTGTTAAGTTTTTACTGGCTCTGTTTCCCTGGTAACAGGTATTTCATCTCAATTCATTAATATTTTTTTTATCTTTTCTTCTGGTTTTATATTAATTTTATTTTGTAATTCTGATAACGTTAACATAAGTTGATTAGATTGTTGATCTTTATTCAATTTAGAAACATTAAAATATTGAATATTTAGATCGGTTAAATCTTTATCTCTTGCTTTTTTTGTTTTGTTTTTCGATTTTGATGAGATAGCCTCTCATTACTGCTTTATATGTAGCCCATAAAGTAGAATCCGGGATATCGGGATTAGAGTTTACCAACCCAAAATGCCGAGATAACTTGATTATAGTCTCCTGATTTTGTTTAAGTTTATGAAGGGAGTTGTCTACAGGGAGTGCAGAATTATTAGGCAAGTTGTATTTTTGAGGATTAATTTTATTATTGAACAACAACCATGTTCTCAATGAACCCAAAAAACTCATTAATATCAAAGCTGAATATTTTTGGAAGTAGTTTTTAGTTTGTTTTTAGTTTTAGCTATGTTAGGGGGATATCTGTGTGTGCAGGTGACTATTACTGTGCATAATTATTAGGCAACTTAACAAAAACAAATATATACCCATTTCAATTATTTATTATTACCAGTGAAACCAATATAACATCTCAACATTCACAAATATACATTTCTGACATTCAAAAACAAAACAAAACAAATCAGTGACCAATATAGCCACCTTTCTTTGCAAGGACACTCAAAAGCCTGCCATCCATGGATTCTGTCAGTGTTTTGATCTGTTCACCATCAACATTGCGTGCAGCAGCAACCACAGCCTCCCAGACACTGTTCAGAGAGGTGTACTGTTTTCCCTCCTTGTAAATCTCACATTTGATGATGGACCACAGGTTCTCAATGGGGTTCAGATCAGGTGAACAAGGAGGCCATGTCATTAGATTTTCTTCTTTTATACCCTTTCTTGCCAGCCACGCTGTGGAGTACTTGGACGCGTGTGATGGAGCATTGTCCTGCATGAAAATCATGTTTTTCTTGAAGGATGCAGACTTCTTCCTGTACCACTGCTTGAAGAAGGTGTCTTCCAGGAACTGGCAGTAGGACTGGGAGTTGAGCTTGACTCCATCCTCAACCCGAAAAGGCCCCACAAGCTCATCTTTGATGATACCAGCCCAAACCAGTACTCCACCTCCACCTTGCTGGCGTCTGAGTTGGACTGGAGCTCTCTGCCCTTTACAATCCAGCCACGGGCCCATCCATCTGGCCCATCAAGACTCACTCTCATTTCATCAGTCCATAAAACCTTAGAAAAATCAGTCTTGAGATATTTCTTGGCCCAGTCTTGACGTTTCAGCTTGTGTGTCTTGTTCAGTGGTGGTCGTCTTTCAGCCTTTCTTACCTTGGCCATGTCTCTGAGTATTGCACACCTTGTGCTTTTGGGCACTCCAGTGATGTTGCAGCTCTGAAATATGGCCAAACTGGTGGCAAGTGGCATCGTGGCAGCTGCACGCTTGACTTTTCTCAGTTCATGGGCAGTTATTTTGCGCCTTGGTTTTTCCACACGCTTCTTGCGACCCTGTTGACTATTTTGAATGAAACGCTTGATTGTTCGATGATCACGCTTCAGAAGCTTTGCAATTTTAAGAGTGCTGCATCCCTCTGCAAGATATCTCACTATTTTTGACTTTTCTGAGCCTGTCAAGTCCTTCTTTTGACCCATTTTGCCAAAGGAAAGGAAGTTGCCTAATAATTATGCACACCTGATATAGGGTGTTGATGTCATTAGACCACACCCCTTCTCATTACAGAGATGCACATCACCTAATATGCTTAATTGGTAGTAGGCTTTCGAGCCTATACAGCTTGGAGTAAGACAACATGCATAAAGAGGATGATGTGGTCAAAATACTCATTTGCCTAATAATTCTGCACTCCCTGTATTTTCAAGGTGCTAAAACCTTTTCGTAAGGGTTTTCCCAAGTTTATTATTATAAAACTGTTATCGGACCAAGTATTATCTTTAATTTGAATTTTATTAATTTCATTTAATGTGTTAGCCTTGACTAGACATAGATCTATTCTTGAATACGAATTGTGCACTTTGGATAAGTGTGTGAAGTCGTAGGTTTCCAGATGAGTGACCTGCCAAGCATCGTATAAACCATGTATGTCGCATATATTAGTTAATTTTCTAGATTGTTTATAAATTCTGTTTTTCAGATTTTAGCTGAGCTTGCGTTTTTTTATCCATTTTGGGCTCAAAGACACAATTGAAGTCACCTGCCATTAATAAAGTACCTTTAACAATGTTGTCTAATCTATGCATGATCTTAGAGAACAATGAAGTCGGGTTAATGTTAGGTAAGTAAATATTAACCAGGGTATATTTCGTATCTTCAGTATTGCA